GATCCAGTTAATATGGAAGTGAAGCCCTCTGCTTATATGGACCAGATGCATTACATTTAATTCTGCCAAATCCTTTTTTGTGTCATTTTTTACTACTGTTCAAACCAAGTATTTTGCGGTCCTCCATGTCCCTGGAACCCTCCGGACCGGGATTTGTTTCAGCAGCTCCGAGAACACTGCCTCTGTCGGTGTCACGAGTGACACCCATGCTGCCCAGAACAAGGGCCATCTCCGCTTCGGCCACAGAGCGTGTGACCGGGACCCCGTCTGCCTGGAAGCGTTTCTCTTCTGTCTGCTCCCGAGATGACACACACGTCTTGGTCTCCTTCTACCACTGGCCGCGCTGCCTCGCCTTCCTGCTCTGCTTCTCGGCACATCCCGCCAGAACCCAGGCCCCAGGTCCTTCTCTCCCACCCCCTCCCTCTTCCCGGGTGGATCCCCCAGTTTTGATGCTGCTGATGCTCTCAGTGTGTAGACCAGGCTCATGGCTGCACCTGCCTCCTGGTCTACAGACTCACGGACCGAGCCGTCCTCCCACACCTCTGCATGGATACCTGATAGAATCCCAATCTTGCCAGGCCAGTGTGGCTCAGTAGGTGAACATTGACCTATGAACCAGGAGGTCATGTTCAATTCACGGTCAGGGCACATTCCTGATTGTGGGCTCGATCCCCATTGGGGGGTGTGTATAGGAGGCAGTCAGTCAATGATTCCCTCTCATCATTGATGTTTCTCTCGCTCTCTCTCTCTACCTTCCTCTCTGAAATCAGTGAAAATATATTTTAAAAAAAGAATCCAAGTCTTCTATTACTAACACTGATCTTTTGATTTCTCTACCTATTTTGTCCTGTCTCATTCTTTCCCCGGTTCACAAACAGTGAGTGTGACTCCATTCTCCTCAACGATGAGGAAACAGAACAACAAAATAAAATAAAATTGAAACCATCCTTGACTCTTACATTTAGAGCCAATCAAAGAGCACATCCTGTTGGCTCCAGTTCCATGCACATCCAGAACCCTTTGCCTTCCCACGACCTCGGCTGGCTGCTATTTTAAGCCATGACATCATCTCCTGCTCAGACAATTGCCATGGCCGCCGAAAAGCCCCTGGTCCCACCCTGTCCTCCTGCTTTCTCCCCGTCAGCCAGGCAGACCTGTACACACACCACCAGACGTCAGCCCCCCCCCCGCCCCAGCCCCCCTGCCTTCCAGAGGACACAGCGAAACACCCGCCCTGGGGCGTTCGAGGCTCTGGGTGTGTGGTAACTGACTCTGCTCTCATTTCTTCCTGCCCTCCCTGCCTGCACCCCATACTTTCCTGAGGTTCCTCGAACAGCACTGCCTCGGAACCCGTGTCCTCACTGGCCACGGTGCCAGAACGCCTCCCAGTTTGCCAGAGCCTGTCCACCGTAAGTGTGTGGCGCTTTCCTTCTCCTCTGAGGGTTGGCAACATCTCTGGTTCCTTCCCTCGGAGTGAACTGAGCACACTATTTGATGTGTTTTCCTTTTATATTTGTGTGAGTCACAAATATGCCCTCTTTTAAAAAGTATTTTTAAAATATTATTTTCCTAGTTTTCTTTCTGCTTTTCAATACAAAATCACACAATCTCTCTCTCTATACAAAAGGCTAGTATGCAAAGTGTCTTCTCAGAAGTTCAACCCTGAGACAGGGAGTTCGATCGCTCGCTAAGACGTACACTGACCACCGGGGGGTGGTGTGGACAGGGTGGGTGACCAGTGGCAGCAGCAGGGCACTGAGGGAAAGAGGGAGGGAGGGGGATGTGGGGAGAACCGGATCAGCCCTGATCACCGGCCAGGCCTAGGGTCCCTACCTATGCATGAATTGGGTGCACTGGGCCTCTAGTGTAACATAAGGAAGAAATACAAATCCTGGCACATTTTCCTCTTTATGGGCATCTTTTTTCTTCTTCTTCTTTCTTTCTGTCTAGAAAGGAATTTGCATACATTGTAGTTTAGTTGAAATTTTCTTACCAAAAAAACCAAATTCATAACTTTTAAAAATAGACTTTTTTGGAGTGATTTATGGGTTTATTAAAGACTTCAAAGAGGGTAATAGAGTTATAGTCAAGAATTTTAAGAAGTATTTCACTGATTGTTGTAAAGAATTGTTTATAAGTTAGATTTTTCAGTACCACAATAAACATGAGTGAAAATCATCTTTAACTCATAACTTTAATATTTTCATACAATCAAAATAGAGAGATATACATTAAGCAGGCATAACATGAGTTGTTTTAATTGATAAAATATCTTGAGTATGTTTTACAGATAAAAGAAATGATGGTTTCTATTAGCAGACTAAAACCAAGAGAAAATTAAAATAAGTTCACATTAAAAAAATTATTAAGCAATAAATACAGCACTATAGCTACCACTAAATTACAGAACAGAATGGATAGTTTATGAATAAATGCACTAGAAAATAGTTTTAGAAAAGAAATGACAGATTAGACTTTTTAAAAAATTACAATGTAATTTTCACAAGCACTTGCAGAAAAATAGCAGTCTACATTTTAAAAGTTAAAAATTCCCCAAATTATTTTTTAGACACCAAAAATGTTTACTCTTAAAAATATCAATTATACCTTTTCTTTATGGGTAAGATACAAAGATGATCTCAATTAGCCATTCAGCTTTAGAGAAGTCTAATATTTAAAAATATTATCCCTAAAAAAATACAGGTACAAAATTAACACGGATGAATTGAAAACTGTACAATAGATAAATCCTACACATAAAGGAAGTCTAATCTAAAGTTAATAAGAGCACAATAAAAAAATACTTGAAAATTGTAGAATAATTCAATAGAATACTAGCTGATAAGGTGACATTTTCTACTGTCATTTGTGGTTGAGACTGAACCGTTTGTCCAGGAGAATCTAAAGCATGGAAATAGGACCAGCGAAGGGTCTGGCACTTCCTTTGAATTAAAGTAGCGAAAAGTGAGTTAATTCGGAGGAATTTCCCTTTCATTGAGGCAGCACAGCCTGTGTTTCTTTTCTGAGAGTGCTGTGAAGTCCACAAATCTGAACTTAGTGCAGTCTGAGCACTTATAAATGCCTTTATAAGGTGGCCAGACCACTTAATATGTTCATCCTTACTGTGAGATAATTATCCTGGAGCATTTCAAATGATTTCTGAAATGCTATTGACATAGAAAGCGTCACATGATCAGCTAGCATTACCTTAACTACCCTCGGAAGACAAAGTCACCAGCTTTATCCTTGTTCCGTGATTGACCCGCTGCAGACCTACACGAGGTAGTGATGTCTCCTCCCCCATATCGACTTTCGAGGAGTGGTGCTTTCTGTTTGTCAGCCCTTTCAGTAAAAAAGAGCATTAGAGAAACGGCCCCTTTAACTCATTAGGCACACTTCCCTCCGTCTCAACTGAACTATTCTTTCAACACCTGGCAGCAAGTCCTCCTGATGCTATAGTCAAATCTTTCACCGACTTGTGTCTTCATCCATCATAGCTCTCTTAAAATATTAATATGTTGATATACTTTGTATTCCTGTAGTTTTTAAAATAGCTTGGGACATTTCAAAAGCCATACACCTTCATGTAGGATAAGTCAGGGAATTGATATTTCAGTGGGCTTCAACCCACAAGAGCGGAGAACCGGCTTATTTGTTACAGTAGGTGTTGCTTATATTTTTCTGGATCAGAATGCAAGTTCATTGTCAACATAAAAAGAGAAATATGTCAAACATACCTACTAAGGTATGAGACACCAAGTCAATATGTTCAAGGAAACAAGGGTCTTGAGTTTGTTTTTAATAAATACCTTCCATCTCATCACTAGTTCCGCTGTCAAACGTCTGATGCTGGCATCTGGTTGTCTTGAATACATTTGGCAAATGTAAAATTCCAGACTCTATTTTATTACAAAAGCAGCCCAGACACAGTATCAGATATTAAGATGCCTACATGGCCACGTCATGGACTTGTGTTGAGGCTATAACACAGAATGGCTGAGTATTTACAAGCTCATCGTTCACGACATTTTTTAAAAATAAACTTCCAAGGAGATAAGAAGCCCTCCATCGATCGTCCTGATGTAAAACACTTGCTCATCTGTCTGCACAGTGGAGACGGAGGACAAGTCTTTATTTACAGACACAGGGACCTGCCCTCCTCCTGCGGTTGGAGAGGAAAGGAGCAGGGCAGCACATCAGCGGAGGAGGGTTCTGTGGTGCCAGCCAAGATGTCTCCCCAATGACACGGAAGCGGGGCTGCACGTCACACACACGGTTTACGTATCGAGTCTCGAACACGGTGTGACACGGGGTGGAGCGGGTGGGACCGAGAATGAGGCCCCGGGAGGACTCCGCTTCCTGGGAAGAAGGGGGCAAGCCAGCGGGCACGAGGAGCAAACACAAAAAGGCCAGAACTCCCTCTGGAACGAAGAAGTCCGCGTCACCCCGGCCCCGGGAGTACAGTGTTTAAACAAACCAACGAGCAGCCAGCTTCCGCGCCAGGGCCACAGGCCTGCGCTGGGCCTGTGTGGGCAGCAGAAGCAGATTCGTGCCCAATGGGCAGATGAAGAGCGGCCGCTTCGCTCCGATGTGAAGCCAGCAGTGCCTGCGACTGGCCAGCTCCAGCCCTGGCCGCGAGTGGCCATCTCTTCCGGACTCCGTGCTCAGGGACGCCAGGCTGGCAGCCTGACATCAGCTGCAGAGCGACTATCACACCGGACGCTGCAGACCCCAGATCAGGGCTCCCCACCCACAGGGCTGGCTGTCGAACACGGATCAGCACGTGACTGGAGCCCGGCCAGCGGGGCTCCAGGGCTGAGCATCGACCCAGAAACCAGGAGGTCACCGTTCCGTTCCCGGCCAGGGCCCAGGCCTGGGGTGCGGCTCCATCCTCAGTGTGGGGCCTGTGGGAGGCAGTCAGTCCCTGATTCTCTCTCATCACTAATGTTTCTGTCTGTCTATCTGTCTGTCTGTCTCTCTCTTTCTCTCTCCCTTCCTCTCTGAAATTTGTCTATGTATTTATATTATAAAAACAAAACAAAACAAAAGCCAAGTGACTGAATTCATTGTTCTTTGTGGTGGTCAAGAAATTCACTTAACATCGAAGTCTTCCGGTTGTAAAGTCATGGCTCGAAGTCCGGGAGCTCAGAGTGCACTGCGGTCGGACAGCCCTGCCCTATTGTAAGATGTAGTCATTCAGCTTCTCCGGCTTAAAGGCCACGTTCTCGAAGTCCTGGATGCTCTTGCCGTTGGAGTGCTCGCTGGAGAAGTCGTGGCTGTACGCCGTCCCGTCGCTGATGGTGGACACCGTGTAGGACGCGCTGCGGAGGGCGTCCGAGTGCGCAAAGCTGCTCCCAAACTGGATTCTGTATTGATTCCAGTTCCTCCGGAGAATGGCCTGCACCTGTCAGTCAAGAGGACACAGAAAGAACAAGAGCAGTCTGTTTTTTGAAATGAAGATACTGTGTAATATACTCTAAGTTCTACAGAAAGGCTTTTTAAAAAGGCATTAATGTTAGTGAATAATGTTACCTTTTCCCTTTCTTTTTAAAGAATTACCTTTATTGTTGAAAGAATTACAGATGTTCCATCTTCCTTCCCCACTGACCCCCCCCCCCCCACCTCCCACCCGCCCTCTCCCAGGCCCTCTCTGCCACCATTCCTGTGACCATGGGTCATGCAGAGAGGCATACAAGCTATTGGGTGATCTCTCTCCACCCACACCCACACCCCCGCTTTGTAAACCTAATTTAAGAAATTAAATTGAGCGAACCATCTTCATGTGAGGGAATCAATGCTCTCACTCTGTGCTTGTAGTTTCCATTAACATTTTCCTTTCCATGCCTTAATTTTGAAGCTCTCCTAATGACTATGAATGCATTATTGTAAAACAAATAGTCAATACAGATGCCACTGCAGACTTGTGTGTGTGCAACTCTGACGTTTATCACAATGTCTTTAGAAGCAGAATGAGACGGTGAGTGAGAGTATAAAAGAGCGACAAGAGAGAAAATAAAAATAAATAGGAGTACAGGGAATATAAATCATCATCATCATATCACTATCATCACCATCATCACATCATCACCATCACCATCATGGATCATCTGCTCCATCATCATCACCATCACCATCATCATCATCATCAGCATCATCATCTGCTCCATCATCATCATCATCTGCTCCATCATCATCTCCAGCAGCACCACCACTTTTTACTGAGTGATTAGCATACGCCAGGGGTTGAGCTACCTTCCGGGGGGGGGGGGGTGGGGGAAGAGCAGGGCTCGTCCTCATGGCGCTCACTCCCGGAGGGGAAAGGTCCCGAACAGATCATTACAGACGCGCTGAATGTTGGGAAAAACCAGACAGGCAGTGCTCCGGTGACTTGGGTGTTAACGGAGCCTACGACACTGGTTGATTTTCTTCATACTGAGTCCGAGGGCCCAGAACTCCCCTCCCACTGGACACCAGTTGTCTGAGGAGGGAGGAGACTGGCTCGGGGACATCTGTTCCTCATTCTAAGTCTCTCAGCCACATTCCGGTGACCTGACCTGTGTCTTTTCAAAGCAGGCACAGCTTTAAACCATCTTCCTAGCCCAGCCTAGCGTGGCTCAGTGGTTGAGAATCAACCTACAAACAAGGAGATCACTGTTCGATTCCCGGTCAGGGCACATGCCCGGTTGTGGGCTTGATCCTCAGCGTGGGGTGTGCATGAGGCAGCCGATTCTCTCTCATCATCGCTGTTCCTCTCTCTCTCTCCCTCTCCCTTCCTCTCTGATATATAAATATATAGTCTTCCTCAAGCTCCCCTATTCTTTGGCGCCCCATTGAACACTTTCTCAGAGAGTCTGCGCATCTGACTCTCATGCTAATTCCAGCCCCCTCACTGAGTTTGTTTCTGAGGGATGGACTGACTCAAGACGGTCACTAGTTTCTGAGTGGAAGGAAGTAACGGAATGCAACGGGGTACGAAATGTTCCACTAAATGTGACCGAGACCCGGGCAGGAAGTCACATCTTCGCTGTGACTGTCACACTTAGAGACTTAAAGGAAAGCTTCAGCTCCAAAGCCGAAGTGGTTTTTGAACTATCTGTTTGCTCTTGAGCTGCCTTGATTAGGATCAGCACCGTAGCTCGTGTCATCCCACACACACACACTCACACACACTCACACACACACACACACACACACACACACTCACACACACACACACACTCATACACACACACACTCACACACATACACTCACACACACACTCTCTCACATACACACACACACTCTCACACACACACTCACTCACACACTCACACACACACACTCACACACACACTCACACACACACACACTCACACTCACACACACACTCACACACATACACTCACACACACTCTCTCACATACACACACACTCACTCACACACTCACACACACACACACACACACACACCCCATGGACATTAACCAGGAGCCGAATGAAAGCCAATCTATCAGCCTCGTAGGCTTCTGTTTGTGGGTATTATCCTCCATAAAGATGCAATGCTTTTCATTGCTTCCCTTTCTACAACTTCACACCCGCTCCACAGGTGTGAAAGTGGCCACTTTTAATTAGAAAACTTTAGTAGGGAAAGGTAACAAGGAAAATTGCCACTGGGCGGGAAGACAGCCTGATGTTATTAGAGATATTAAAATGCTTTTCATGGCTTTACATGCATGTTATATAAATAGCAAGGCCAACTGTTTAGAATATTACATTACAACTCCATGTGCCCCTTAGCAGCTGATGAGAAGCCAATGCTGTACTCAACCTAAACCGATGAGAAGGTGGTTAACGGAGCTTCATAAAAACTCTGCCCAGCTCTCATCACAGCATTGGGGTCCACTTATTCTCCACACGATTGTGGTGACTTTGTGAAAATAACTGCTCTCAAGCGTTGTGAGTGTTCCCTGGCCGGGCCCTGCTCTGCCTGGAGATCCCAGTCTATGCCAACAGGGCACCTTGCTGTCCCCATGGACGAGAAATGAGAGGAGAGCGTGGCCTGAGCACCTGCCAGGCCAGTTATTTCACTAGTGAGAAGTGCGAATAGACATTTTGGGGGGAAAATAAAACACATAGCATGTGAGAGCAAAACAAGAGCGAGACAGTGAGCTACAGCCAGCGATTCGGCCTCACGTGGACACAGGAGGGAAAGGGATCCTCTGAGGATGACTGTGAGGAGCACAGGACACCCTCAGAGCCACACGCCGAGTCTGGCAGCTGCGTGTCCGCGGAGTGAGAGTGGGAAGGATGGAGAGAGACAGTGAGGGCGGGCGACGGGGTTTCTCAGGAAGAGAATGAATCAGGCACAAGCAGGGTTACAGCTGAGGAGACGGGGGCGCAGGGACAGCTGCTGCAGATGGGAGGAACCGGAAGATTTGGCAACGGCGCGGCTCTCGGATGTTGTAAGACTGGAACTTCTCGCTGCCAGAGTGCTCTCAGTGTGAGGACGTGGCCGAAGATCAAAGCTCGTCCCGTTCGCTCAGACAGCGTGTGACCGTGCTGGCCACGGGAGAGGCCATCCTGGACCCTTTTTCTAAATTAAAGGGCCAATTGGAGATTTCACTCCGTATGGTTAATATTTCCCTTTTCTAAAGTATTTTTGAAAATGAGTGACTTGACAAACCTAGTCAGGAATCTAGCAAGTACGGAGGGTGCGCCATGGGGCTAAACCCTTTAGATCCCTCGTTTCCCTCAGTCCTCGGGAGACCTGTGTGAGCAGCTTTATGTTCTGTAGGGTTAGGGCTGTGATGGGCAAACCGCGGCTCCAGAGCCACAGGCGGCTCTTTGGCCCCTTGAGTGTGGCTCTTCCACAAAATACCACGGCCTGGGCGAGTCTATGTTGAAGAAGTGGCGTTGCAAGAAGTTTAAGTTTAAAAAATCTGGCTCTCCAAAGAAATGTCAGTCGCTGTGCTGTTGGTATTTGGCTCTGTGGACTGAGGAGTTTGCCGACCATGGGGCTAGGGTGTTGGCCAAGGCATCCATCCAGAAGCTAGCGGGATCTTGGGGCTTACATGCATCGCCACATCCATGCTTTTACCCCTGCTGCCTCCTATCACCACAGATTGTATCAGCGATTACGTTTTGTACATTTTCAGTTTCCCCTTATAAAAACCACACTTGTTTCTGCCGATGCAGAGGTGTATTTTCATACTTAACACGTCCTTTGCCTGTTGTCCATCTCCCTCTCATCTGTGTTTAATGATAAAGTCCCGTGTAGGCAGTAAACAGAATCGACTAATTCAGCGCACACAATGTTATCTTTATAGTGGTACCTACAATGGCTACTTGAGTTTTGTTATCAAACACGATGTATCTATTTTCCTTGGCTGCGTGCTCTGTCTGTCCTGCTTTCTCACTGACGCTGGCCGACGGCCGCCCCGCCTCCAGAGAGGAGAGCCTGTCCGTCCCGCGCAGCGACGCTCGGTGTGGTACCACGGCCCGTTGTAAGCCGCTGCAGAAAACAGTGCCTCTGCTCACAAGTTCAAACACATGGCCACTTTCACTTAAAAAACCAACTGAGTCAAAACCGGTTTGGCTCAATGGATAGAGTGTCGACATAAGGGTCCCAGGGACTGAAGGGTCCCGGGTTCGATTCCGGTCAAGGGCATGGACCTTGGTTTCGGACACATCCCCAGTAGGGGGTGTGCAAGAGGCAGCTGATCAATGTTTCCCTCTCATCGATGTTTCTAGCTCTCTATCCTTCTCCCCTCCTCTCTGTAAAAATCAATAATATATATATATATTATAAACCTAAGTTTCCCTCCTTGCTGAGAGGGAGAAGGGAAAGACGAAGCTGCAGAGAGCAGTAGCTGATCGTCTCTGAGATGCACACGCTGCCAGCGCTGACTGGTCGGGGGACCGGTCCTTTAAGGTCACGCTAACCGCTTCCATGTGCTCCCAGCCGGAAGCCCCGTGATGAGCTCACAGTGACCCAGGGTCCCCGGCTGCTCACTGCCGCCTGGATTTCTGAACGAGGCTGAACTTGCCAGAAGCCTCCAGCGGGTTCCAATCTGCCAAGTGGATTAGGGACACACCGAGCTGAACCGGCGGAGCTTGGAGGGCTGTGCACCACGCAGGCCAGGTGGTGGGGAACTGAGCCCCGCAGGGCCAGACCCCGGGGCCCCTGCGCTGGGCAGCCCGGGGGCGGGGGTGTATGGAGGGCCCTGCGCTGGGCAGCCCGGGGGGGGGGTATGGAGGCCCCTGAGCTGGGCAGCCCTGGGGGGGGAAGTGGGGGGGGACACTGAACGTCCAGGACGGCGTTGCTGTTTCAGACCTCAGAGCTGGCTCTCCCCGGCCTGCCCACTGCGCTCCTCCTCACATACCCGCGATCTCCTTCTCAGAGAAGCTCTGGTCTGCCATGGCTGCTGCCAAACAGCACACCGAGGGCCGGGCAGGGACACAGACAGAGCAGAGGAGAGGAGAGAACGAGAGGAGCCATGTCCTTCCTCCTGCGCGGCGGAGGGCCGCCCTGAGGCCCGGCCGGGGCCGGCCGCCTCCAGAGGCAGCCCCGCTCGGACACTGAGCGCCGACGGAGGAGGATCTCGGCGTGCGGCTGGCTGTCCCGGCCTTGACCTCCCCGTGCCCGCGCTTCGGGGAGGAGCGCGGCGCCAGGGGAGAGACTCCGGTTCTCTGCCCGGAAACGACATTTGGGAGAGTTGCTCCCGGGGAATCCACCATCCTGCCTCCTGGGCTTTTGTTTGGTTGTTATTTTTAAAGAAAAAGGGATACCTTGCTCCGAGGAGCCCATCGAAGGAACACCGTCAGCCACCTACCTCTCCGTTAAAGAAGCAGAAAATCGTCGAGACCAGAAGACCCTGCGGAGGCAAACAGGACGATCTGACTCCGAGCAGAAAGGGCCGGCCCATCCTCACCCGCTCCCGGCTCCGGGTCCGACGGGAGCCTGCAGCCAGCACCGGCCTCGGCCCCCCCGGCCCGCCGCCCACCTGGTAGTGCATGAGGATGTTCATGACGTAGTCGTACACCTCCTCCACCGGCCGGCCCTCCGGCCGCCAGGGCAGCAGCACGAACTGGATGCCCAGCAGCGGCACCAGGATGAGGGTGGCGCGCACGGCCTTCATGTACAGGTGCGACTCCGCCTGGTGCGTGACCTTGAGCTTCGTGATGAGCACACGCACGATGTTCAGCAGGAAGAAGAGGTTCACCTGGGGGAGCGGAGCGACGTGTGGGGCCCTGCACGGAGGAGGCCACGGCACACGCCCAGCACGACACGCTACAGCGCACGCCAGGCCCACACGCAGCACACGCCATGCCCACACGCAGCACACGCCCACAACACACTACAGTGCACGCCAGGCCCACACACAGCACACACCATGCCCACACACAGCACACGCCCACAACACACTACAGTGCACGCCAGGCCCACACACAGCACACGCCATGCCCACACGCAGCACACGCCCACAACACACTACAGTGCACGCCAGGCCCACACACAGCACACGCCATGCCCACACGCAGCACACGCCCACAACAACACACTACAGTGCACGCCAGGCCCACACGCAGCACACGCCCAGCATGACACGCTACAGTGCACGCCAGGCCCACACACAGCACACGCCATGCCCACACGCAGCACACGCCCAGCACGACACGCTACAGTGCACGCCAGGCCCACACACAGCACACGCCCACAACAACACACTACAGTGCACGCCAGGCCCACACGCAGCACACACCATGCCCACACGCAGCACACGCCCAGCACAACACGCTACAGCGCACGCCAGGCCCACACACAGCACATGCCAGACCCACACGCAGCACACGCCATGCCTACACACAGCACACGCCATGCCTACACACAGCACACGCCAGACCCACACACAGCACACGCCATGCCTACACACAGCACACGCCAGACCCACACGCTACAACACACATCCTCTGTGATTTCAGAACCGAACGTGAAGTTTTATTTTCAATAAACCTTTACTGTAGAAAGTATTACGTAAGTCCTCACTTCCCCCAGCCCTCACCACCACCATCTGTGTCCATGGGCTACGCACATGAGCGCTTTGGTTGATCTCTCTCCTCCCCCCTCCCCTGTCTTCCCTCTGAGGTCTGACGGTCTGATCGGTGTCTATATGTCTCTGGCTCTATTTTTGTTCATCAATTTACGTTGTTCATTAGATCCCACAAATGAGTGAGATCATGTGATATGTATCTTTCTCCGACTGACTTGCTTCGCTGAGCACAATGCTCTCCAGCTCCATCCATGCTGTTGCAAATGGTAGGCGTTCCTTCCTTTTTACCGCAGCGTGGTATTCCACTGTGTGGATGTACCGCCGTTTCTAATCCGCTGTCTGCTGAGGGGCACGTGAGCTGTGTCCAGGTCTTTGCTGAGCTGAAGTGTGCCGCTATGAACATAGGGGTGCATATGTCCTGTCTGATGGCGGTTTCTGGATTCTTGGGATCTATTCCTAGAAGTGGGATCACGAAAATCCAGCACCCTTTTTTTGATAAAAACTCTCAGCAGAGTGGGAATAAAGGGCTCGCACCTGAAGTTCTGCCTCGCGCTCCGAGAGGAAGGGAACTACAACGTGAGCCAAGGGGAGCGTCTCAGCGTTCCTGAGGCCCCTGGCCCGGAGCTGGGCTGGGTGCTGCGTGGTCTCAGTGTTCCTGAGGCCCCTGGCTCGAAGCTGGGCTGGGTGCTGCGTGGTCTCAGCGTTCCTGAGGCGCCTGGCCCCGGAGCTGGGCTGGGTGCTGCGTGGTCTCAGTGTTCCTGAGGCCCCTGGCCCGGGGCTGGGCTGGGCGGGGGAAGCGGCGAAGGGTCCTCGCGCTGTAACTGCCAGAGGACTCTCCGTGTCCAGAACAGGACGCGCTGTGTGTCCCGGAAGGCTGATTTATTAATTTAGCAGGTGCGCCGACTTTAAAGGACGCAGGTGTGAGGAGTAGAATGATGGCAGCATTATTGTGGAGCACACTCCGTTGACGGGCAGTGGAGTGTTTTTCTCGGCTCTGTTCCTAGACAATTCTTTTTCTCAAAGGTTTATTTTGGTTCAAAGACTTAAGCTTTCAAATAGTCGCGGCTCAGACACTGGAAATGTTTATTTTTAACACGTTCTAATGCTCACGTGTCTCCCCTGGACCGGGGTCCAGGTGTCCATATCTGGTACTTTCCAAATATACGTTGTACCGTAGTAACCATTTTCATCTTTTTGGTTGACCCTGTCTTTTTTTATTGTTATTTTTTGGTAATAATCCTCACACCTCCTCCAAAATAGAGCTGTGATCCTTTTTATCCTTAGACCGGACTGAATCCCACATTTGAACTAGCTGATATTCCATCTACGTCCTCCTAGAGAGTTTTAAAAATTGGCACCCACTTTCTGTGATTACATACGTACTGTGCTGTGTGCTAAGCTGTTCCCCGGGAGCAAACATTCTCATTGAAAGGGAGACAGAAAACTTGGAAAGTATAGAGTCACTAACCGCGTTCCCCAGAAAATGGACAGTTCTGCTGAAGGATGCCCGCCCCCCTGGCTATCACTTCCTCTCCGGCTCCAGCCAAGTCACCACTCCCTTCAGTCGGTGCTCTCTGCCCTCCACCCCCTCCGCCTCCGGGGGCCGTGGCCGTGGCCGTGAACTCCCGGGTGCTGCGTGGTCTCAGTGCACCCCTTCGCCCTGCCTGCAGCCCGAAGCTTGTCTGTTGAACCCAAACGCTTCCCGGTGACACCCATGTGCCCGCCATCTCTACACTGACACCCCTGAGGCAGCACCTCGCTTCCTGCAGGAAGCTGCGAACCAGCTGCAGGCCCGTGAGGCGGAGATAACGGGCTGACTGCCCGCTCCTGCTCTCAGCAGGGCCAGAGGGACCCAGGTTTCGGGGACACAGCCCCCGGGTCCCCAGGGGCAGCGGCTGCGGGGGAACGTCCCTGCTGCCGACAGAGCCGGGAGCCCCTCGCCCCTCGCCCTCCGGGCCGTGTGGAGGCTCTGACTCCATGGCCACGGCTCCCAGCGCACAGGGTGAGGTCACACCGCCCTTGTCCCCCCACGACCGGCCGTCACGGCCGCAGAATGTGCCACGGCCCATCGAGGGCACTGCTGGTGCCAGCGCCTCTGCTGGGCGGGGGTCCGGGTCCGAGTGTGAAACCAGATCCTGGACCAACTGCCCTTACTGCCGGCACAGCCGTGCTCCGAACCAACTGGCTCAGGAGGCTCCCATTGCGGGAGCTGGACCGGTCCTCCTCTCGGAGCGACGTGGATGAGGGGGGAGCGACGTGGATGAGGGGGGAGTGACGTGGATGAGGGGGGAGTGACGTGGATGAGGGGGTAGCGACGTGGATGAGGGGGGAGCGACGTGGATGAGGGGGGAGCGACGTGGATGAGGGGTCCATCGCATTCCCTCCTCTGCAGGCACAACGGGCGTCTGCGGTCCCCGCCCTCGGCATGGCAGGAAGGCAGGAAGTGGGTGACTCAGCGGGTGGTGGGAGGGTTCGCTGACTGAGCACCCAGTGACCCAGCGTGTCTCCCCACCCGGACTCACTGCACCCCGCAGCCCCTCAGCCGTCTCAGTGCGGAGCCCCTCAGCCCCGCTCAGGAGGCAGGACAGCGGAGGGCGGAAAGGAAGCCGGCGGTGGCTGACGTCTTATTTATCAAAAACCAAGCACGCACACACACACACACACACACACACATATACACACACACACACACACTCACTCATACACGCACACACACACACACATATACACACATACACACACACACTCACACACACACACATATACACACACATACACACACTCACTCACTCACTCACACACACTCACACTCTCTCTCATACACTCACACCCAAAAACACACTCACACATATATGCGCGCACACACATACACACAGACTCATACACATAAACACACATACACACATATACACACTCTCACACACTCACACACACACACACACACACCCTCTCTCTCTCTCCCCTGAGGCCTGCCATCCCCCCCTACTTCTGCCCTCTGCCATTGGCTGTGCTGGCCAAAGGGAGGGACAGATCAGAGCAAGTGGGGTGTGGGGGGACCTGGGGGAGGGGAGAGGTGAGCATCTCTCCTCTCTCCTGCCTGGCTGTGGCTGGCAGTGCTGGCCCCTCTGCCCGGCCCAGCTCCTCCCAGCTCCTCCCACAGCACCTGTGTCCCCTGTTCCTGGCTGTGATAACGGCTTCCGCTGGGTCTCCCCCAGGCTCCCCCATGACTTAGCTCTCCCGGCCCGGCACCCTAACGCACAGCGCCCCTCCCCCCTAGCTCTGGCAGGACACGCGTGAGGTGGCAGCGGTACCCACCAGCAGGGCGGCGCAGATGGGGCCGTGGATGATGTAGAGCAGGTGCGTGTCGGAGCTGATCCAGCACCTGCGGGCGGACAGAGAGGGGGTTCAAGTGTTGTTCATCCCGTCCCACCGCGCCCTGTCCCATTCTATCCCGTCCCGTCCTGTCCCGTCCCGTCCCATCCCCTCCTGTCCCATTCGATCCCATTCTATCCCGTCCCGTCCTGTCCCGTCCCGTCCCGTCCCGTCCTGTCCCGTCCCGTCCCGTCCTGTCCCGTCCTGTCCCGTCCCGTCCTGTCCCCTCCTGTCCCATTCTATCCCGTCCCCTCCTGTCCTGTCCCGTCCCGTCCCATTCTATCCCGTCCCGTCCCGTCCCGTCCTGTCCCATCCTGTCCCGTCCCCTCCCGTCCCCTCCCCTCCTGTCCCATTCTATCCCGTCCCATCCCGTCCTGTCCCCTCCTGTCCCGTCCCATCCCATCCCCTCCTGTCCTGTCCCATTCTATCCCGTCCTGTCCCATCCTGTCCCGTCCCGTCCCGTCCCGTCCCGTCCCCTCCTGTCCTGTCCCATTCTATCCCCTCCTGTCCCATTCTATCCCGTCCTGTCCCCTCCTGTCCCGTCCTGTCCCGTCCCCTCCCGTCCTGTCCTGTCCCGTCCCCTCCTGTCCCGTCCCATCCCCTCCTGTCCCATTCTATCCCATCCTGTCCCGTCCCGTCCTGTCCCATTCTATCCCGTCCCGTCCCGTCCCGTCCCGTCCCGTCCCGTCCCGTCCCGTCCTGTCCCGTCCCGTCCCGTCCCGTCCCGTCCTGTCCCGTCCTGTCCCGTCCCCTCCTGTCCCGTCCTGTCCCCTCCTGTCCCGTCCTGTCCCGTCCCCTCCCGTCCTGTCCCATTCTATCCCGTCCCGTCCCGTCCCCTCCTGTCCTGTCCCATTCTATCCCGTCCTGTCCCATCCTGTCCCGTCCCGTCCCGTCCCGTCCCGTCCCCTCCTGTCCTGTCCCATTCTATCCCCTCCTGTCCCATTCTATCCCGTCCTGTCCCCTCCTGTCCCGTCCTGTCCCGTCCCCTCCCGTCCTGTCCTGTCCCGTCCCCTCCTGTCCCATTCTATCCGTCCCTTCTATCCCGTCCGTCCTGTCCCGAGGGAACCAGAGGGCTGTCTTACTTGTCGTTATAGTACAGGCTTCTGCCCACGGCGTGCGTGCAGGCGGGGATCAGCGGGAACCCTGTCAGCGACAAAGGGACAGACGGGGGACCCTCAGAGGGACGCCTGGTGGGTCAGGACTGCGGCTCCAGGGGCGGGGAGGGGGCGGAGCACCATCCCAGCCCCATGAGCGAATGTGACCGTGGCCAGGCCGTGTGTGTGGCCCCGGCCGCTGCTCCGTCCTCCGGCGGAGTGAGTGACTGCCCAACACCGGCCGTTTGGGCCGCGGGCCCCACGCCCGATGCAGGGACTCGGACACGCTGCTGCCCGGGCCCAGGCCCGGGAAGGCCGTCCCGCGGCTCCGTAAGGAGTGGCTCCGGGCAGGGCGGCCCCCGGGGACAGGCGGCCTGAGGGCCTCGCTGCACAAGGAAAGAGGAGGCGGGGGGCGGGGGAGCCCACAGGGTTTGTGCAGTTTGAGCCTCTAGAGCAGGTCTTCAAAGAGACGCTTGGAAGGTGGCCTGAGTGCGCGTCGGCCTGTCTGCTGTCTGACCGGACGCGCAGGGAGGCGATGGATGAGCAGAGAGACTGGTAGGTGGGTAGGTATGTGGGGAGAGAACGTGCGGTTTCAGTGATGTTTCTGGAAACTAATCCTATTGAACTTCTCGTTAGCATTTCCTATTTCGCATTCTTCCTGCTCTTCCCTTTATTTTATTGTATTTTATTTTTTAAATATATTTTATTGATTTTTTACAGAGAGAAAGGGAGAGAGATAGAGAGCTAGAAACGTCAATGAGAGAGAAACATTGACCAGCTGCCTCTTGCACACCCCCTACTGGGGATGGGCCCACAACCAATGTACATGCCCTTGACCGGAATCGAAACTGGGACCCTTCAGTCCTCAGACTGACGCTCTATCCACTGAGCCAAACTGGTTTCGGCCCTGCTCTTTCCTTTAAATGCTAGAGATGTACACTGTCTGCTCTGTGGATGACACCGTGTCAAGGGATCGTGTGGGGAAAAGGAGGCATTTTGCATGCTCGTATTCAGTAACGGATCTCTATTCTCTTAGGTCAAATGACAGCGTTGTTGTTTTTTAAGCAAACATCTAAAAAATGGGAGGTCACGCCAGCTGAGCCCCATGATCTTATTTTGCACACGAGGCAGAGGGAGGCCGGAGAATACAAACACTGGGTCCCCGTCCATTACCCTAATGCTATTGTTTTAGTCACATGTGGTCGGCCAAGATCCACACGGAACAGTCACAGGAGGAAGAGCAGCGCCTTCGCCATCGGCCCCGGCCCGGCCCGAACCCTGAGCCGGGGCTGTTATTCCAATACCGCCCTCCGCTGCCCTCAGCACGGGCGGATCCCCTGGCCCAGCGGTGGGCACACTCATCAGTCCACAGAGCCAAACACCAACAGCACACCGGTTGACATTCCTCTGGAGAGCCACATTTTTTAAACTTCTTCTAACCACTTCTTCAACACAGACTGGCCCAGGCCGTGGTCTTTTGTGGAAGAGCCACACTCCAGGGGCCAAAGAGCCACCTGTGGCTCTCGAGCCGCGGTTTGCGGACCACGGACCAGGACCGACTTACCGTATTTTCCGGTGTACAAGACGACCCCCTTATTTTACAGTTAGAACATAGGTTTAGGCCTATATTCGCTGTATAAGTCTACCCCCCACTTCCGAGGCAACACCTGTTCTTTTTTTAATAGACCGCCTCTCTGACTCTGGCCAATCTGAGCAGGCTTTTTACTGGAACACAGTGTAGCTTCGGGTACAGAACATGTACACTGTGTTCCAGTAAAAAGCCTGCTCAGATTGGCCAGAGTCAGAGAGGCGGTCTATTAAAAAAAGAACAGGTGTTGCCTCGGAAGTGGGGGGTAGTCTTATACAGCGAACATAGGCCTAAACCTGTGTTTTAACTGTAAAATTAGGGGGTTGTCTTGTACGCCGGAAAACACGTAAAACGGTGAATAGTAAGTTTGTTTAGATTACAAAGGAGCTACACCCTCGCACGCAAGCACGTCCAACTCAGAGGCTAACACGGCCCTCGGCCCGGGGGCCGTGGGTCTGACGCTGGCGCCACGGGACACAGAGGCAGGGAGCGGGCGGCGGGCGGCCTTACCCCAGCCCAGGAAGTGGTACCACAGCAGGCGCTGTTTCTCGGCGAACACGGCCACCACGATGAGCGTGTGCAGGTACACGCCCTCGCACAGCATCCAGAAGTAGTTGCAGCCCATCAGGTAGAGGTGCAGGAACTGGGACACCTTGCAGCCCACCTGGGGGAGCGGAGCGACGGTGAGGTCGGCTGTGCGTTCAGGGGCCCTCCCGCTGAGCTCGGCCGCTCAGAGCCGCGGGGCCTCCCCTTCTCCACCCCAATCGCACTCGCAGACGATCCCGATTTCAGCAACTGGGCGACTCAATCTCTAAAACCCCCACCTGCTAAACACAGACATGCCCTCCCCTCCCAACTCCACCTCCAACTGCAGCAGAGATATTTGTGAACCTGGTGAAAAAATGTGACTTTAGAAATGTGTGTGTTTTTATTCATGCAGATATTTTAATTTAAATACGGCTTACGTAGGCATACAGCCTACAGGAAACGTATACATCCGTATAAGTCAATTTCAGGGCCTGTTTCCAAAACAGCTTTATGTTCGAAGCCCCTGCTTATGGTGTGTTCTCTCGGCACCCGGCCTACAGACTCCCTTCCCAAGGGATTGTGAGGAAACAGCTCATAAATGTTTGCTGGCACGGGAGGACTGGGAGGGCCCTTCGAAAGTTTTATGATGATAAAGTTTAACGTTGTATAGGGGATGCGGAATCTATTTTCCTCCGTTTTTGTTAACTTTTAAAGTCAGCCTAATACCAAAAATAGGATTTAAATGTTCCGTTTTCAAACAGGTTTTTTTTTTCTTATATTGTCTAACGATGTTCTTTTCTAACGGAGATTGATGTTTTAATTCCTTTGAGCAAAGGCTTTATAGCCATAAACACTTACGTCCTACCAGTGGCAGGACTCGAGCCGTAAGTTGAGGAGAAGGTAAGTGTAACATTTATAAATAATTGAAGCAAAAAGAGTGTTCTTCCTTTTAACATTGGATCATTTTAACTTGGGGAGTGCTGAGGTATAGAGGGTGTCCCAGAAAGTGTATTCACACACTGTGAACAATTAAAGGCAGAGTTTGTTAAATACATTTCATTTTCAAAATCAAACGACCTGCTGTTAAAAGTATATGCACAGTTTTTGGGACCCCCAGAACTTACCTCTCTACATGCTCTTTACATGCTCTCTGCATGCTCTCTGTATGTCAGGCCTCACAGAACACGACACACACACACTTAATTACATGCCCAGCACCTGTGTCAGGACCCCCACCCCTGGCACAGCCTCCCCTCCGACCCTTCCCACCGAGGACGCTCGCCTTTGCTTACCGGATCCGTGGCCACCAGGGGCTGGTTGTTGGCCACGGCCGTGAGGTGGATGATGGTGATGATGGAGTTACAGACAAAGGAGAAGAACAGGTTTTTGTGCAAAGTAATTCTCTGGCAACTCAGGCTCCTACGAGGCGAGAGAGAAGGAAGTGTGTAGACATCGTAGGAGCTCCCACCTTACCAGTGAATGATCGTTCAAACGAGACGCATTCGTCGTACGAAACAGCTGCTCCCGCCACGCAGGACGGTTTCCCCCCAAGATCCACTGGTGAGGAAACCTAAGGAGGGGGAGCCGGTGATGTCTGCAAACACAGACCGACACGTGGCTCCAGGAGCAGGAGACAGAAGAGGGACGGACGTGAGTCCACCCAGGCTGCGACATAAACGTTTGCTAACCTTGCGAGATGATTGCTATTTTAATCCAGAAACTGAGATTCTCAGTAACATTGATAGAAAGTGCAGCTAATTAGCAGGCCGGTGGGGCTCAGGGGCTGAGCATCAACCCAGGAACCAGGAGGTCAGGGTTCGATCCCCGGTCAGGGCACAGGCCTGGGCTGTGGGCTCCATCTCCAGTGTGGGGTGTGCAGGAGGCAGCCCATCCATGACTCTCTTTCCTCATGGATGTCTCTCTCTCTCTCTCTCTCTCTCTCTCTCTCTCTCTATCTCTCTCTCTCTCTCTCCTTTCCTCTCTGAAATCAATAGAAATATATTTTTTAAAAATGGTAATTGATAGAAACTCTTGGAACTATAAAATATATCCACTCGGTCTTATTTTTAAATGCCTGCCCTGAGCTTACCCAAGGACTGTGGAGTACCGACAGCTGTTTAGGGGAAAACGGCTTAGCCATGGCAATCTGTACTTTTTTAGTAACAGAATTGAAATAACTCCGCTATTACCGTGGGAAAAACACTCCAATGTTTTCCTTAACCGGGCTATTTCCGCCCTTCTGCCGGACATATATCTGTATACACTGAGTGTATATACAGTTAACCTACATAATTCGCCCTCTCTAAGCTCCAGCCAAGCATCGGCTTTGGAAACCCTGGGTTTGCAATGAGCTGGACCTCGGCCCAGCCATCCTCTTCATGGTGGTGGTGGGGGGGGGGCCGGCTGTGGCTGCGGCCGTGGCTTCTTCCCTCTCTCCCTCTGGGTTCTGAGGACTCACATGCAGACACAGGCTCTCTGACGTGTGCTTCCCACCCGTGTCTCGTGGTCAAACACCTGCGATCTGCCCAGGAGCGCATGCTGCTTTCTCCTAAGCACATCGTTACCACGTGCAAGTACATTCGTACCGATAAAATCGACTTGGCAAGGCAAACTGAAGCACGCGTGTGGAAAACACTGGCCTGTTTTAACGAAACCCCAAAAACATTCCAGATTTCCCACATGTGAATCGACAACCAGCTTCACCTACTCTGGGTTTTTAACGTGCTTATTTCTGCTCAAAGTGTTTTTTTTTAATTGTCTTTTAGGCTTAGAGAATATTTTACAAAAACCCTCCCTCCTCGGCCTAAACATTACAATCTCCCTCTCCATCATCACAGAACCCACAGGATAAAAAAACGTAGTTTGTGGGTCTGTATTGTTTTCATTCCATGCTCTCTCCACATGATTATTCTAGAAATTACTTCAATATGCAAGTTTGACAAGCAGAGTGACAGAGGCAGTTGGTGTAAATGTGTCAACAAAGCCATTGAGCGCGTGTGGGATGTGTGTGGTTGGTGCGTTCAGGCCTCGGGCGGGGCCATCGGAGCGGGCGGTGAGCGGGTGCGTGCGGATCAGGGAGGGCTTTGGAAGCTGGCCCCAGCGTGAGTCCAGGCCGTGCCGCCGCCGCCGAGCAGTGCGGCTTCACACGTCACCATCGGCCCCCGGTCCTCAGTTCCCCCCGTCCCCGGAGGTCCCGCCGTGCTCCCAGGACGGGCCCAAAGGCTGCGGGCGGCACGTCGTGTCTCCTGCACAGCGTCCTCTCCCACACGTGGCGAACACTCAGTCTGTTCTAACGCAGCTACCCCGTGGCTGCTTCCCATAGCTTCCCGGGTCTTCTCTCCCCACAAACAACAAAAGAGCATCAAAGTCCACCTCAGTGATACAAAACCACCCGTCTCAGCCAGACCAGGAAATAGGAATCCGAATCGCCATCTATAATATGCTAATTAGACTGGACAGCCAAATGAACTTCCAGATGTCCTTCTGGATGAAGCCGGCAGCGGGAGCCAAGGCAGAGGCGGTTAGGGGCGATCAGGCAGGCAGGCGAGCAATTAGGGGTGATCAAGAAGGAAGCAGAGGCTAGGGGTGAGTGGTTAGGGCGATGAGGCAGGCAAGTAGGTAGAGGCAGGCAGACAGGTGAGTGGTTAGGAGCCATCAGTTCCTGGTTGTGAGAGGTATGTCCAACTGCCTGATCTAGGCCTAAACCATCAGTTGGACATTCTCTGAAGTGTCCCAGATTATGAGAAGGTACAGGCTGGGCTGAGGGAACCCCCTTCTCCCCATACACTAATTTTGTGCACTGGGCCTCTAGTTTAGTTACAAAACATGAGTAGAAAACCAGATTGCAAAATATATTACTACTTCAAAGAGAAAGAACAAGTCATATTATTTATGTTTTGTATTTCAAATGACAAAGTTTTAATCCACTTAAATGAGTACCTAGTTTTTATACCAAACCACCGATCCTTAGGTATCTTAAACAATTTGTCATTTTATTCCCAGGAAAATGTAGTTATGCTTAAGTGGCATTTATGTTTCAACTGCTCAAGCAAAATAGATAAAATATACTTATAAAGAAAAAAACGTCAACGGAAATATCTGACCTTTAATAATGTTACAGCTTTTAGTAACAAATTTACTGTTTAAAATGAGTCCACATTTGTTAATTCATTTGCTTTATATTTCCATGCTGGGGACTCTTCGCCATCAACCAATAATAGCAATTTTATAGCAGAACTGGGTCTTATTGGTGTAAATCCATTACTTCTTTGTTTTCTCAATAGATTTTCGGAGAGAGAGGAAGGGAGAGCGAGAGAGGAAGAGAAAGAGGAAGACTGATATGAGAGGGGAACATCTATCCGTTGCCTCCTGCTGACAGCCTGGGCGTGTGCGCTGACCAGGACTTGAACCGACAACCTGTGGGCGCCTGGGACGATGCCCAGCCAACGCGGCCGCGCCGGCCAAAGCGACCACGGCTTCGCGCCCCGCTCTGCCCTCGCTCGCACTGACATCTGATGCGGAAAGGCAGCGCCTTCCGCAGGTGAGCACTGTGGACCCACGGAGAAAGCCTTCCAACGTAACAAGTAGGAGTGTTTCAGCCCTCACAGGCCCGTCAGAAGCAGACGGATTTCTCAGCACGCTGATTAATTTGGAAAAATTAATTTGGAAAAATTCCTAATAAGTATGATCTGATAAAACAACACATGGAAAAAGATGGTTAATAAAATAATATCCAAATGTTACGTGGAGGAAACACTGCAACGATGAGGACCTCTCTCAGGACCGGTGCACAGAGACTTCCCGGGAACACGGGAATGGAAGGGACACGCGGGCGGAGGGGGTGGGCCTGAGAGGGTCCTTCTGGGACCGCGGTGGCCGCTTCTGAGCTCGGCCCATCAAACCTCAGCGGGGCCAGTTTGCCAGATTAAAAGAAACTTGAGAAAGCTTTGATTTGCCAAAACAGGGCCATCGTGGCGTAATCTATTGAGTCAGACTCTGTTCTCTAGGTTCCAACGCAGAATTCCTCTAACTTAGGGGTGTCGAACTCCATCAGAGAAGGGGCCAAAATCTAAAATCCAGCCTAAATCGCGGGCCGAATGGTTTACTGAACAGTCATAAACTGTCATTGTGATGGAAACGCAGCGGAGTGCAGTGATGACAGCGCGGTGCGGGCCACATTGCAAGGCCTGGCGGGACGGATTTGGCCCTCGGGCCTTGTGTTTGACACATGTGCTCTAACTAGTCAGCTTTGCTTAAAATGGATTTAGAGGTTGAATCACGAACCATCTCAGGAGAAAAGGTACACCTTAAGGAAGGAAACTATAATTGTTCTAATTCAAGAGATAAATGCAGATGCCGGACGTGAGGACAAAGTTCACAATGTTGGTTGACTACATTCAGATAAGCTCTAAGAAAAAAGGGAGAATTTGGTCCTGAAAACAATTAGATAAGCATCGGAGGGTGATTTTACTTCGCTAAGAAAACTTGGGCCTCCTGATTGGATGCAGGTTTTTGTTTGTTTGTTTTTTGTTGTTTTTTTTTTTTGCTAAGTTTCATCTACGAACTCTTCTCGACCGGCTGGAAATGATACAATCGTCAACTCAGCTTTTGCACTGTTTGGTGTCCGAGCCTGACCATCAGCAGAGGGGAGACGGCGAGGAGCAGAACGGCTCTGCGCGCTCAGCCCGGCGGTGCCCACGCCCTCGGCTGTGGAGGGGACGGAGCCTGCCTGGGCTGGGAGGAGGGGCAGGATGGGCTGAGCTCTCAGATGTGAGAGCGATTAACGCGTGATTTATAGCTGATCCTGATGAAGTTTATTTGTGTTATTTTTTATGTTTTTTTTTTTTAAACCAAAGGGTTCTGTTCTGCTTTTCCAAGGATCATTATGAGCTGGAGTCATTGTCTCTCAGCACTTGGCAGGCCCGGCCTCTGTCTCTCTGGGCCCCTCCCTCTCGCTTCATCCCCGCCGGCCTCCGCCTGTAACTGGCTGTAACCTAAGACCCGGGTGTATCTGGTCACCAGCGTTTCATGTCCTTCTGTTTCTAATTTAGAGCCTGGACGAGGCGTCCACGTTCCTTCCTCTGAAGGAAGCAAACTGTGTCCAAACCAACTCTGTGTGTGGCTCCTGGTTTTTATTAGGATGGGCCCGTGACCCTCCGTTAACAAACGGGGGAAAGTGTTAGCTGCACCCAGGGCTCGGCCGGAACGCCAGCCCACAGAGCTGGGTTCGGAGCAGAGAGCGCTCAGACAGATCCCCTTTCTGACACACAGCGATGTTGTGTGAACCGCCCGTCCCTCTAGGAATTGGCTGGAAGAAAACTAGGATCTGTATTGCTCTTGATGTAGGAACATGCTTCGTGAACCACCCACGTGAGCACGTTCCCAGGCGGCCCAGGCCTTCCTCTGATCTGGCCGCAGCCTCGCACACTCTGCCCCACAGATGCTTCTATGGCGGAGAAGCGTAAGGAGCCCTAGTGACGCTGGAGGCAGAAAGGCCGGACGAACGCCAGGGACTTGCCCAAGGTCGGGAGAAGTCATGGGAAAGTTCACCGTACAAATAAGCATCCAGTCCGTGCATGCCTTCGTTTCTCAGAAGTGTATGAAGATTTACGGAAATGCTGATTAAAAACTCGTTAAAGTTTACTGCCTACCATGTGCAACGGCCTGTGCTAAGCCTCGGGGTGCACAAGGCAGCCAAGCCATGGTCACTACTCCTGCCCCTGGGACGCTAACGCTGGCACCTTCTTCGCATTGCTTCCCGTCCAGCGGGCGGCTGTCTGCGGCAGACAGAGGCTTTGCTGTGTGAGCACGCAGTTCTGGGGGGTGCACCTGAGAAGTGTCTTAAAATCAAAGACGATGAAGTCTCTAATATGATTCAAGTACCGAGTAAGCTCTATGGAATCTTGTGGGCACAAAAATAGTTTTATTCTTTTTGACTAGAGTACTTTCTGATATAAATATACCACTGAATTGGTTTATAACATTTTTTGTTCATTATTTAATCACCAGAGGCCCAGCGTATGAAATCGTGCATGGGTAGGTCCCTGGGCCATCTCCTGTCCGTTCGCCAGTCCCCAGTCCTGCCACACTGCTGCCACCACTGATCGGAGCCTGTGGGCTGGGGGGGAGGGACCTAACGGTCCCCCTTCAGCCTGATCACCAGTCCCCAGTCCCGCCCCGCCACGTAGCTCCCCGTGGTTCCCTGTTCGCCACGCTGCGAGTGGAGCCTGCGGGCTGGGGGGTGAGGGACAGGGAGGGAGGAGGGACTGAGAGGTGGTCAATGCACCTCACAGCGACTGGTCCAGCAGTCGTTCTGGGCATTATGGTTGCTGGGCTTTTATTTATTATGTAGGATTTTTCTATGTAAACATAACAACTTCTTTATCAATGTGGCACCTCTGAAGCTAGCACCGTGTTCTTTGTTTTTAAAGATCCTAGAGGCATGCTGTGCCTATCAGGGCTAAACATTTCTGTAGAAACCTCTTAAGGAACTAACAAGGAGTGGTAACTATGCCAGTCACAGGCAATGCCTTCCAAACTGGGCCCTCGGCTTCCCACTGCCTGTGTGTCTCAGGCACGGATCGCTCTGCGTCTGAAAGATGTGGAAACGAGGCTTAGGAAGGGCAGAGCGGTTGCGGGCTATGCCTCAGGGCACAGTGAGAGGGGTGCTTCTGCTTGGCCCGGGCGCTTACCCTCCCTCCTGTAATGGAGAGTGTCCGGACATAAAAACGCATTTGATGCTCGGCTGGGGTCTCACCTGAAGAGGGTTTCTCGTGCTTTACGTAAAGCCCAAGAATGTGGGATACGAAAGAAACATTCGCTTGTAGCCTTGCTTCTTTCTGTTCAAAGTCTCCATTTTTAAAAGACAGGGGAAGCCCAATGAGATGACGAGGCCACACAGAGAGGGTGGGGGCTGGGAAAAACCTGCAGGGCTCAGCGAGCACTGGGAATCCCGAGAAACCAGGCGTCCGCGGACAGAACCTCTTTCTCTCACGTCTACACGCCACCGCGTCTGCCCAGGGGCGTCTCCCCTCCTTCAACACGAGCCTCCGGAGAGGAGTCCCACCTCCGGGGCCTTCGATTCTGCGAATCAGCATGAGCTCTCTCCCCTCTCCCGCTCCCCGTCCCTGTTTCCCCGGAGCTCACTGGAACTCGGCAGTAACTTCTGTTAACCTGTGTCACTGTCCTATAGGAGCAATGCTAGATGGCGACAGTGTGCTCTGTGTGTCCACCTGACTGCTATGGTCCAGTGATAAACCAATGGTCAGTTTGTCCTCCCAGGCAGTGACAGGTTCCTGTATGCCAGCTACCATCCGAGTCGCCTTTGCTCCGTATTCAGAACAGTATTATGACCATTTGTAAAGAGACGGAAGCTCCCTAAAAACCGGCATCAGGAGGAGTCCACGCCATCAGTTAAATGGTGACTGATTAAATGGTGAAGGCAAGATTAGGGTGCATTCCACATTTTATATCACTGCACTGCTTATCATTAAAATCGAGTGGCACCTGAAATTGAGTCCAGTCCTGTTAGGCTAACTTGCCATTATAGGGTTGTTTTTTGTTGTTGTTTGTTTGTTTTTTGCTTGTTTGTTAGTTCACTATAGTGGATGAACAGTTAGTTGTCCATTCGAGATGAACTTTAAGTATAAGCAAGGTAATCACTTGAACACTTTAATTTTATTTTTATACATCAGCAAGGCACTCCTTTGCTTTAACTCAGTTTTGCCTCCATAGCATGCTAGCCATCTTTTTTTTTTTTTTAAAGTGAAGAATTTAGCACAGATACAGCTACTTACTGCATAGAGCACTCTTGATTTTTTTAGAAATTGCTCTTTAAAAAAATAGGCCTATTAACATGTGAAAAACTATTTGGGGGGGGGATGGAATTTCTAGCCGCCCTTTTAAAATGAGAAATGGTTCTGCAGATTGTATCGTAATGAAGCAGTGAGGAAGACATGACATCAGCTCCTCACTCTTCACATAGAATTCTGTAGTTATTGGTGGTGACCAAAATTATGAGAACCATGTTAATGCATAAAATAATAATACACACACACACACACACATATGTGTGTGTGTATTTGGGAATTTACTTTCCTATTAATTAAAAAAAATCACTTGTTGTACCAAGAAACTAGAACTGAGTCTCCCTCCTCCCAAAATGACTGTTATTTCAAGTAAAATTAAATGTATAACTTAATCATTTTAATAATAATCCCCTACATAAAAAATGAACCATAGTACATTGATATTGTTATTTTTAACCAGATATGCTAAATGCTATTGCTATCATTCGCACAAAATTCAGTTCTCATAATGTACCACGTATCCTGATAATAAAATTGACCAAAAAGCTGAAAATTCAACTCAGACGGCCTTTAATACATGGCCGTCTCCAAGGCAGCTGGAACTGTCACAGGTGACTTCCTTCTGCTGCTGCCGCTAATTTTATAAAGTTGTGGTTTTAGATAAAGCTGATATATTACATTACAAGTTATTCCAAGCATCCAATTTGCTTGAAACACTGTGAATCATCTACATTTCACATGTTTTATCAGCACATAACACACCAGCTACACGGCACAGCACTCACCGAAGACAACTGGTAAGTTGACCCCATGCCACGTGTACTCACTTGAAGTAAAAGAATATGCCGAGTGAGATGAGCAGCGAAGCGATAGACAATCCATGTCCAATGATGGCCAGGTAGAACAAATTCAGTGCCGTCTGCAATTTAGAATAAAAAAAAAAAAAAAAAAAGTAAGGCTTATGTCCGTACCGCAGTCCTACACGTGCAGAAGACCCGGTTCAATGGAACGCACTGTGCGCTCACAGACATGGGACCCATGGCCTTCTCATCTAGCCTGCAAACCGGACACATCTGGAGTGAGGGACATCGATGCAACCTATCCAGAGCATCAACTCTTACCACTTGTGTGCGCTTCTTACGGAGGAGTTAGGCGTCCGGCATTAAGTACGCTCGGGAACACTGTCATGGTCGAGGTCAGGGGCCGGCCAACCTCAGCCCTGGCCCCTTGAGCGTACTAACGCCGCTTCTTCGAACAGACTCGCCCAGGCCGAAAACCGACGTCTGCGCACGGGCCACGAGGCTCCCGTGGCGCTGTCCAAGCGTGCCCACGCGCGGCATTTTGTGGAAGAGCCACACGCAAGGGGCCCCAGAGCCCCCCCCCCCCCCAGCCCGGACGCACCTGCACACGCTCGTGGGTGTTGGTGTTGCACCGGGTGTAGTTGGTCCACGTCCGGTTGCTTGCCGGGTGTCGGAACCAGTGTCCGTCCTGGTCGCAGATCTTCGTGACCTTCTCTGTAACCGGGAAGAGGGGAGGAGGACCGTCTGGCGGCCCTCAGGGGGACGGGGGCGGGGAGGGCGGGGGTCCCGGCGGCCGGTTACCTGAGGGGTCGAAGTCCTGGAAGTAGTCGGGGCAGTGCTGCACGGACTCGGTGCCCGCCGCCACGTAGTTCCAGCACAGCCAGCCGTCCCACGTCCGGTTGCAGTGCGTGCCTGGGGGTGGGTGGGGGGGAGTGACAATCAGCAGCTGTCCCCGAGGACAGCCTTTTAACAAACATACATGTACTTATCCATTCAGAGAGGAAGGGAGAGGGAGAGAGAGACATCTGTGACGAGAGAGAGTCATGGATCGGCTGCCTCCTGCACGCCCCACACTGGGGATCGAGCTGGCAACCTGGGCCTGTGTCCTGACCGGGAATCAAACCTGGGACCCTTCAGCCCACAGGCCGACGCTCTATCCACTGAGCGACACCGGCCAGGGCCACCCATAGTCTTGATGGTGGGACGGAGGCTGTCTGCTGCTGAAGACTCACGTGCACCCTGAGCCACGCACAGTGTGAGCGAGGCGTCACTGGGTGGCGTTGTCGCTGGGCCCACGGCACAGAGGGCACTCTCACACCCAGAGGCCAGGCCGGCTGCACCCCGAGGCCACACGGTGCGCCCTGCACACCTGCCCGTCACCGCTGACCGGGACGCCCTGTGAGTGCGTGAGCGTGCAGGGGTTATCTCACCATGACAGTGAGAATAACTGGTCTCCACGTTACAATGAAGCGTGTCTGGATTTGTATGCAAATAGCTTAATGCTTGATCATTCAACCCCTGTGGACCTATAATAATATCAGATCGTTTGTCCTTGTCTGGCTTACTTTAAAGGTATTTTTAACTGAATAAATATCTTCTAATAAGCATGCTCAAGCAGCCCTACCCGGTGTGGCTCAGTGGATAGAGCATCGGCCTATCTAGGATCTAGACCAGGCGTCTTCAAACTACGGCCCTCGGGCCACATGCGGCCCGCAGAGGAGTCTGATCCGGCCCGCCAGGTTTTTTGGGCAGTGAGCGCAGCCGAGGTGTTACAGTAGGAATTAGTAGTTCATATAGTCCGGCCCTCCAGCTCTCTGAGGGACCGTGATCTGGCCCCCACTTTAAAAAGTTTGAGGGGATCTAGACTCTAGGATCCCGGGTTCGATTCAGGTCAAGGGCATGTACCTTGGTCGTGGGCACATCCCCAGTAGGGGGCGTGCAGGAGGTAGCTGGTCGATGTTTCTCTCTCATTGATGTTTCTATTGTAACTCTCTATCCTTCTCCCTTCTTCTCTGTAAAAAATCAATAAAATATATATATTTTATTGATTTTTGTTTATTTTAAAATATATATATTTTAAATATAGGCCAACGCTCTATCCACTGAGCCAAACCGGTTTCGGCAAAATATATATATATTTTTTAAAAAAAGAATGTTCAAGCAGAGGTACCCAAGTTCTTCTCCCAAGATAAACAAATTACTTTGTTCAGTTATAAATTAAAATTTTAAAAGTTGACCAAAGTGGAGAAAAACCCACATTTTTTCTCTTTCTCACATGCAAGTACATCTTGACAGTTACAAATATTAATAACAACCTACTTTTAATAACAATTTTAGTTACATAAATATGAAATATAAATAATATATATATGATATATAAATATATCAAATATTTCAAAAAATTTAAGATCCTTGTTTCCACTGATAGTTTAAAATCTAGGAATAGCTAGAATCTTTGTCTTCTGCTTTGTTGTATTGTGAGTTTTGCATTTTATATTTGAAGAAACCATGTCGGTGAGGCTGTCAGATAAAATACAGGTACTATTTTCTATTATTATTATTATTAATTATTATTATTATTATTATTTTGCTAAGTCTGGCCACTGTACTGGTGTTCCCCATCTTTACATCTTCAGAATTGGGGCCAAGAAAGGCATTTAGGAGATTCTCAGTGAACGCCTCAGACATAGCTGAAGACTAACAGTGGGAGCAAAAGCACTTATACTAAGTTAACCTTGCTACCAAATGTACTAGCCAACGTGTAAGTCGCAGAAAAACAATTGTCCGTCATCTTATTATGCAGACTCCTATCAAGCAGCTCGTTCAAAACCTAATTACATACGCTGAAGATCAACGGTCACTTATTTAATTCAAGACACTTACTCAATTGGATACTTTAAATATTGTCATACCATAACAGTTGCTACTAACAATATCCCTGTTGCACATATGCTTATCAGAATCTTGTAGGAGAGACATTATGTCATGAAGCGTTCTCCCTAAGTAAATAACAATGAAAACTGTTCATGTGCCAGAAAAGTGAGCCACTAACCGTTGTTAACAGGGACCTCAGACACCGGTCGGCTGGGACGGGGTGGTTTTCTCTTAGGAACAGATCAGTGTGTCTGGAGGGAAACAGTCACCTCACCTTCGGCGTGCTGCTCGGGGTCTTGCATGATCTTCTGGTAGCACTCATACTGCGCCGTCATGATCTTATTTCTGGTGACGCTCAGCTTCCTCTGTTCGGTATGGCTCTGCTCGGGTTCCGCCCGGACGGGAACCTGCGGGATTCAGAGGAAGATGTCAGGACTGAGCACAGGCCTGCCGCAGGCCGTGGGTTCCGCTGGGAAACGGTCAGGGCAGAGCTCGGGCCTCCGTCTCTGCGAGGCCGCGCTCGCCCGTCTCCATAGCGACCGTCTCCAGTGCCCGGTCCTGGCTCAGGGAGGAGCGAGGGGTGCCGAGGGAGGGCAGAGCCGCGGGCCTGGCGGCCGGGCCCTGAGCTCGGCTCCCGGACGCCTGTGGCTGCAGACGGGCCGCGGGCACGGCCGGGCCGCTCACTGCTCTGAGCGCGGGAGGGAGGCCGCCCAGCCCGGCCGGCCCTGCTTTCCCTCCCAACGGAGAACACGGGGTGTCCAGACCACAGAGAGGGTCCGTGGCCCCGACAACACTCGCAATGGCTGTCGCTTTCCTAATTCTGTGTGGATCGTCAGGATCGTGACCAGCTCGGCGGTGACGCTGGCGGGTAGAGATTTAGTCTGTGCACGTCCGTGACGGCTTCAGAGGGTCCACATTCAGGTTCCTTCCATTCAGTGGGACCATGGCCGGCCTCACTGCCAATGTTTACGAGACCTTTTCTCCCCGTTTTGTGATGTAAAATCGGTATAATCCTCTCTTCAACCTCATCTCTCTTTTTAAAACACGGATTTTAGATTTTTATTGTTGATAGTATTTACAGATGTCTCAGTCCCTCCCCTGCCCCCCCTGTTACCCCCTTCCGCCTTATCCCCCTCCGCCCAGCCCCTACGACCCCCCCGGCCTTCACCCCTCCCCATTTAGGAGAAAGGCATTTAGGAGATTCTCAGTGAACGCCTCAGACATAGCTGAAGACTGTGCACAGAAGTATCTATGTTCTTTGGCTTCTCTCTCCTCATCCCCTCCCCCACTTCGAGGCACGTCCGTCTGTTAACGCCTCCCTCCCTCATCTCGTCGGTCGGTTTGCTGGCTCATTAGGCCCACACGTGAGGGAGACGGTGTGAGGGTGGTCCCTCCGACTGGCAGCCACGTCTCCACTTGGCATTGGTGTGCTGACGGGTTGCACAGCAGCTCTCCTCCTCCTCTCTTGTCCCTGGCTCACGGTGCTCCTGCTTCCTCGCAGGAAGCTGAGTCAGGGAGGGCTGAACAGCCGCGCTCCCTGGGTGCGACCCCCTCCCCGCACCATCCATGGCCCCCTGACCAGGACTGCTCCCGCCTCGGCTCGTCTTCATTTCCCAGCAAACACCCGGCGCCGGCTTGCTGCGCGAGTAGAAATGTGAACGCATCACAACATCAAGAAAACGCACGGCTGTTCTGCTCTCCAGAGTGTGGAGAGCTGCGTAGAATCAGCATCATTCTTACCCTCACTTAACGTAAAAGCTCAATCCGGCCTAGCTGCGTTGGCCCAGTGGGTAGAAAGTTGGTCTGTGGACTGAAGGGTCCTGGGTTCGATTCAGGTCAAGGGCACTTGTGGGCTCGATCCCCAGTAGGGGCGAGCAGGAGGCAGCTGGCCCACGATTCTCTTTCCTCGCTGATGTTTCTGTCTCTCGCTCCCTCGCCTTCCTCTCTGAAATCAATAACGATGTATTGGAAATGAATAAGGAAACGCTCGGGGTGGCACGCGCTGTCAGGAGCGGTCACAGCCGCTAAACCAGGATGACCGGTCGGCGGTCCGTGACGGCGTCTCTGCCAGCCCAGGGCGGCGTGGTTAGCTCGGGGCCATGCTCGGGGCCGGTGGGCTGACGGGTCCCGGCTCTGAGTCTGGTCCGTTTCCCGCGAGGGCACCGGGCAGGGCCCCGAGGGCACCAGGCAGGGCCCGCTCCGGCCGCTCCCGGACAGGAATGCAGCCCGCTCTCCTCCGGTCCGTCCTCTGTTTTTCTTGAGCTCCTTTGTTTGCCTCTTGGTGGATTTGCTTGGAAAGCCACAGGCCAAGTATGTGCTGGCACAGAGCCGAGGGGATCAGGTCCCTCAGCTCTCCTCCGGGGAACGAGCCGGGGGACACGCTGGGCCAGGCCGGGGAGGAGGGGGGGTGGGCTGCCACTGTCCAGGGTGTCCTCCTGCCTCGGGCTCCTCTGGGATCTTTGCAGGGAATGCTGATGGCGTGGCAGGGTGAGTGTGCGGCAGAGAAATAGGCAGAATATTGCTGTAAAGAAACATGAAATTGGCCCTGGCCAGTGCGGCTCAGTGGATAGAGCATTGGCCTGTGGACTGAAGGGTCCTGAGTTCGATCAGGGCACAGGCCCGGGTTGTGGGCTAGATCTCCCGGGTTGTGGGCTAGATCTTGGCTGCCTCCAGTCCATGCAGGAGGCAGTCGAGCCATGATTCTCTCCTATCAGTGATGTTCCTATCCCTCTCTCCCTCTCCTTCTCTGAAATCATTAAAAATATTCTTTTGAAAAAAGAAACATCACATTAACTGTGTGGGGCCTGCGATGGTCCAGCAGAGCAGCTGTTTTTTCGTTCTCCCTGGCCCTCCCTCCACTCCCAGCCCAGCATCCCCTGCGGAGACGGCAGAGGCGACGTGACACACTCTCTGTACACGCCTGCCCCACGCCTGCCCCACGCCGGGCCGTGGGCCTGCCGGACATGGCACAGTGCTGATCTGGATGGCAGGACGAGGAAATGAACTCAAACTCCAGCGCACGGTTCCGAGTGGGGTTCTAACCGATGTCCACCAATCAGCGGGCAGAACGGGAGGCACCGCAGCAGGTTAGCGGGTCTCGGACTCCTCAGACCCGGCTGACACAGCTGACCCACTACGTTCCGCTGTGCGCTGAGCCACCCTGTTGTGGTTTCCAGCCTGATCAGTCCTTTCCTGTCGGTCGTGCGTGGCTGTGTCCCTGGAACTGCCTCACTCTGCGTTCCCACCCGATGGCACCACCCTCCCTCGTCCCTGCCCGGGACAAAAAGCCGTAAGCGCACATGGACAGGAAGTCATCCCTGCCGTGCTGACCGGTGTGAACATGTACCATCAAGTAACGGCAGGTCGTTTTGTGGTGATTCATCTTTACCAGCTACTGATGCACCAGAAGTTAGACAGGCGAGAGTCACAGTGAGGCAGATGTGCCGGAAAGAAGCGTGCTTACCAGGAGGAAAGGCAGGAGGCACAGGACACACAGCACACGCCTGTTCTCCATCATGGAGGCCCCAATAGAATGTGTATATAGTACAAACTGCAATAAAAAGTGAAAAAAATGTAATTCATCAATATTTATGAACTAAATATACATGGTTCTCAAAAGAGAATTTCTTTCAGATGACACAATAATTTTGCTTTAAGGATTTGAGTAATAGTCTTATGTGTTACAAAGTTAAGAGCATTATGGTTTCAAATACTGATGAGCTTGATTAAATATATTTCAATTAAATTTAATTAGTATCACAAACAGAAAAGCTTCTTGCACATCCATTTTTAGTTACCAGAGATAGCTTGCTTTCCTTCACCGAAATTGGGATAAAATAACTAAAGTGTCAAAGTAAAGAGTTTTACAAAACATAAAAGCACCACCTTGGATGGCATATTTACTATAAAACTTATCTTTATTTTCTATAAGTATTAATCTCTTTTTTTTAATTTTCTGAGTTTTCAATACGTTAAAGGGACAAATTGCTCTTGGGCCAATTTTCTTGAGAATCAATATTCATATTTCATTAAAATAGCCTTATACTTTTATAGAAATGGCCTTACAATTTCATAGAAATTACTCTTCACTGATGGACTCAGCTGGGTGTGTTTTTTTTTTATTTTTATTTTTAACCAGGGAATAAACTATTCCTAAGTCATCGGCATTATTAGGATTTGGTTGCGGAAGACAGACAATACCAACTAAAAGCATTTCTGTCCAGCGTTTCTGAGTGTAGATAGAATCCTGAACAGATGAGCATCGGCCCCTGCCCGCCACGCTGAGCTCCTGGCATGCTGGGAAAGGTGGGTGACACCCACTCCCTGGAAGGTGCCCGCGAACACCCCGGACAGTTTCTCATGAGGCACAAGTTACCCGGGTGTCATCCTAACATACGGCGACAGGCGTGTAGGAAATGTTTCTCTAAGGAGATGAAACATTTCCCATCGATAGGTGTTTGTCAGGGAAGGATAATCGTGGATTCCATTTTGTTAGGGAAGTCGTTGGGCTTCTCATGCTTGGGCGAGGGTGAGAATGCGAACTCTGGACGTCTTGCCCAGGTGCTCTGTGGACTGTTTCTCATCGGGCGCCATGGGAACGCCAGGACCATCACAGAGTCTGTGCAGCTCCCTCTCCGGCGACTCACCTGGGAGCTGTCTATTCGGGAAACGGGAGCTCTCTCCCCCGGAACGCTTCTCTCCTGTCTGCTGTCCTGGGGCTTTATGACGAGCTGACCTCAAGGAAAATAGGACCAAAAAAATTAGAAGCACTGTATTAATGTTAGATATTAAAAACCAGGCATGTGGTAACCGAAGGGAAATAGTAATCAAGTTCTTACAATTCAGTAACGAATGAGCTGATATCTTAGTGTTTATTACATTTCATGAGAAAAATCTAATTTTCTCATACTCACATGCACAGTTGTCTCCAGACCCAAATCACATTTTCCCTTGGATCACGTTCAACACGGTATTGAAGAACTTCTGAACTGCTGGGGTCATGACCTAAAACATTGAGTGACATAGTAATTAATATCGTTTTAATGGACCAAAATCACTCCCATGATAAACTGAAATTTTCAAAACAAAGACCACTATGAAACTGATATTTTTTATTAAACTATTCCCAGTTTTAAAAAGTCTCTTTTGCTTACATTATGTTGGTGATCTGTCACACATATATGTTGCTTTTCCATTAGATAGAGAACCATCAATTTTCATTTATCCAGGATACCTGGATACTGAAAAATCTAAGTGAATATTTTATCCAAGTAAACTTCAAAGAACTCTAATAGAATAAAAGGTTTTAAACTTAGACCCGAGTTTAATCTTTCTTTGAATAACTTTGTCTAATCTTCTTTGGGGACGTGGTGTTAGTTTTGTGTATCTCTTTCCCTTGCTGGTATGGTTTCACAGAGCCAGAAGCCGTCTCTTAAAAATATGTATATACTTTTGTTGACTTCAGAGAGGAAGGGGGAGAGAGAGAGAGAGAGAGAGAGAGGTCAATGATGAGAGAGAAACATGGATTGGTCGCCTCTTCACGCTCCACATTGGGGATCGAGCCCACAACCCAGGCATTGCCCTGACCAGGAATCGAATTGTGACCTGGTTCATAGGTGGGCGCTCAACCACTGAGCCACACCAGCTGGTCGCTAGAAGCCATTTCTGATTGACCTTCATATGCTTTGTGACTGGCAGGTGCCTTACACTTGAAGTATAAATGAATGAAAAAAGGAACCGTGAAAGCACTTCAGGGTTTTAAACTTAAAAACAAGAACACTAATCGTAACCACCGATGACCATTTATGTTACGGGTGCTTTTATAAATGCTAACAGAAGGCTTTACATGGTGTTGGAATCTGTACTGACAGTAAAAATGGGGGGCGGGGGGGAGGCGGTTCTTATATCAGCATGTTTAGTTTCTTACACAAAGTCCTGAAATTACTCAGATTTCAAGTTCTGTGGTTGGCTGGATAGTGAACAAACTGTAGTTTACTGTACTGACTTGAAATCCTAACAATTAAGCCAAAATTAAAACAGTATTTCATAGTTTTTCTGTAGCGAATGCATGTAATACCAAAATATGCAAATATAAATGTCAATGGATATTATTCTATTTGGAAGTCAGACGGGATTTATGAAACAATTCTTGATGACTCACACATGAGTAAGTGTTAAATCACCTGCAATAATTGAAGGGAAAAGTGCTTCCAAAGCCTGTTTGGAGCTTTTCCTGAACCCAACACACCTGAAAGACCGTTCGTTCACCCAACACGGGCAGGCTTTCGCTTGCTTATCGAGTAGCTTCGAGATCCCCGTCCCAAAAGGCATCCCAGCGAAAGGTCCCTGGTGTGCCTACAGCGTTCCGGCACCGATATTTTAAGAGGACTTTGTTCAACTCACAGAATATTTATCCTCACGAGTAATTTCAGTTCCACAGCTTCCTTCCCCGCCCCGGCCAGCTGGAACGTGGGCCTCCGGGAGCGAGGGTGTGCTCGCACTGAGCAACGTGCAGCACCCCAATCAAGGGCCGGGCTGTGGCCCGGGTGCCTCAGGGGCAGCAGCGAGTGTGTGTGGGGGGCAGTCTTTCGGGCACAGGGTGAGCACCTGCCCATTGTACCAGGGGGTCCCATTCACAGGAGTCGTCTGCTCTACAGAGGGCCGATCCGATCTCCTCGCCAGTGGGCACTTGGCGGGGAGAAGTGGTTACGGAGGAATTAAACTAATTCTTTTTCACCACGGTTTCTCTAGATCCGTGGTAGGCAAACTGCAGCTCGAGAGCCACATGCGGCTCTTTGGCCCCTTGAGTGTGGCTCTTCCACAAATCACCACGGCCTGGGTGAGTCTGTTTTGAAGAAGTGGCGTTAGAGGAAGTTTACCTTTTAAAAATGTGGCTCTCCAAAGAACTGTCAGTCGTTGTGCTGTTGATATTTGGCATGTTGACTAATGAGTGTCGACCACTGCTCGGATCAACAACAGATGCATCGCGCAGGGAACGCCACCCAGACACATCTGAAGGTCTGTTTAAACCGAGTCCCACATGGTCGACGTAACGGCATGGCTGCTATCAGCTGTACGCTCAACTGTGTTCCTTGGTTTAGCTCTCGGGTCTCTGCACACTGCCTCTAACATGATCGTTCAGCAAGTGGTTCTCTCTTTTTATTTTTAATATTATTAAAAATATTTTTATTGATCTCAGAGGGAAAGGTGAGGGAGAGAGAGAAGACACATCAATGGTAACAGAGAATCATTGCTCTTCTGCCTCCTGCACGCCCCACACTGGGGATGGAGCCCGCAACCCGGCCTGTGCCCTGACAGGGAACCAAGCTGTGACCTCCAAGTTCACAGGTCGACGCTCAACCACCAGCAAGTGGCTCTCTCTCCAGTGTTTACCTCGTTCTAAATTTGCCTTTCCTGAAATACATCTGATGGGAGCTGGCCAGAGCTGTTAAGCAAATTACTGTGAATCTCCCTCAGTCCTGCACATTGCCTTGTGGCGTGTAGTGGCTCTCACTCAGTGCTGAGCAGATATGGAGTATGTAGCTGGAGGAGGTCAAGTTGAATGACTAACTCTCCTGTGGGATTCTTTTAAGTGCGCGTAGGCTTGTTTGGTGGGAAAAGCACTTGGTCGAAGATGAGCACCCGCTGTAAACTCTGAAGTGGCTCTGTGGTCCCAGCGGGACTCGCAGCCCTTACTGCCGATTTCTCTTCCTGACCGCCGGCTTCGTGCTTCCCCGCAGGGCTGCAATTTATGTTCTCATCTCAACATCAAGCCCGCCGGGAGACTGGGTGCTACTATTAGAAACAAAATGATGTCTGTAAGCATGGAATGAAAAATAGCCATTTCCAAACAGACTGCTCCTCTGGAGAGTAGAAAGGATTCGTGCCATCACAGCAGGAACGGGGAGAAATAAGACCACCTTCAGATCCCAGACACCGTCCGCGGCTCTCAGGTCGTCCTGGGATGTTCTTTTTTTCTTTCTTTTTTTTTTTTTTTAATTGCCACAGATCTCTCCACAAGACACTTTTCACAGATTGTACTGCTGAAATCATAAATTCTAGCCAGTCTTCTTGACTCATTTCCATGTAAAGGCATGGAAAATTATAAGTAGAAGCAACAATACCGATTTGTCAAACACAAATGTATAAACCCTACAAATGCATACGTGCCTTGCAAGCCTGCTTCTTCTTCCCCCAGTTTTTATTACTCTTGTGTACACTATTTTCTTTTCTTTGTAATAAGTCTTATTTTGAATTGCCTAATCCTAATACTAAAAGTGCCTGTTCAATCCAAGATGAAGGAGGAAAAACACAACTTTCATCTTCCACTCCTCCATTTCCAAACTATCTCAGATTTTTGTAGGCCCGAAGCCATGCCATGTTCCCCATTTATTTATCCGGCCTCCAGAGCGTTGGCCAACGAGCATTCCCCAGCCATGACTAACTGCCGTCGAGTGTCCTGCTGGGGCGGGGGCACAGCCAGGCCATCGCGATCTCGTATGCGCCTTCGCGGGCGGCATATGCCACCCGCTACACTTCTCCCGAACCCGAACCGGGACTCCGCCCTGTCCCCCCCACATCCCCCACACTCCCCACCTGCCTGGCACACGGGCCCTCCTCAGCCCTGTGAGGCAAGGCCTGTGCTGGCGAACAACGCCACCTGCCTCCCACCCACTCCTCGCGGCTGCTTGCCTTTCTTTATTTTGGATAAATCGACGTTTTAGAGTTATCCTTGCAAAGCGCTGTCTCTCCTTCAACAGAGCCTGCTGCAGACGAGATGCCCGTACAGGTGTGGTTTCCCGCCCCCCCCCCCATGGCCCCGCCCCGCAGAGAGGACGCACAGAGGTGCGTGCAGAGCAGCCTGCTCACAGGATGGACTTAGTCAAGCAAGAAAGATCGTGGCCTGGATGCCACGCCAGGAGCTTAGATTCCGTTCGACGGGCCTCTGTGAGGCCCAGGTGGTGAAGGTCACGCTAACGACCGAGGGGATGAACTAAGCTTCCAGTTATGAAATAAATTTCTTATATCTATATCATCTATATCTATATCTATATCTCTACATCTCTATCTCTATCTCTATATCTATATCTATATCTAAATCTATCTATATATCTATATATCTATATATTTATATCTATATCTATTTCTATATCTATATCTATCTATATCTATCTATATATCTATATATTTATATCTATATCTATCTATATCTATCTATCTATATCTATATCTATATCTATATCTATATCTATACCTATATCTATATCTATACCTATACCTATATAAATATATACACTTAGAAATCATTAGCTAATACTATTTATTCATCTAGGATTCTAGGATTCACAGCAATGATAAGCTCAACTGAATGAACCAAGAAAGTCCAACATACATGGACAAGGTCATACAAGACGCTTAGGGCTGACCCCAAGCTAAGAACTCAGATTCTCTGGCCCTAAATCTGGGGCGCTTCACCGCTACACCATATTGACTGAGTCATTTATTTAGATAATGAAGGCTTAAAAAGTACAGCACAGATTTCTATGTTGCTTATTCACTTATTTTTGACTAACAACCCAATTTTCGCATTTCATTTAACAAACATATTTATATATATATTTTCTCGCACAGTTTCCTCTATTCATTCCTACTCTTAGTAATGTCCAATTTGATGTATGTATGTATGTATGTATGTGCGGGTCTTCCATGAGTAAATGGCTTGGCAACTCAAACTTGCCATTCTGGTAAGGTACCAAAGAGTCAGCATGGACCGTCTCACGTTCGGGCACTTCACAATGCGTCCCCTTCCCCTCCTTACTGAGCATCTCCTTTCACCGAGTCATGTAGGGAGAGAGAAGAGAATGTAGGTGAAGGCTCCTTCCCTCCACGGAAATAGTTACCAAGTTGAAGGTGATGTAAGTTTAGGGGCTTCGTTCATCGTTGTAAACACAGCCCACAGGAGCCCTTCATGGGATTCTAGGGAGGCGATTCCCCGACATCAGAGACG